TTAGAAATGGAATAATTTGTTTTGTAATTTTTGTTATTCAGTGCCTAGTGGAAATTCGGCATTAGACTTGTTTCGCATTTAAGTAAATTACAGAAAGGTAATCTTGATTGCCGGCTGTAACAAATGAGGCGAATACATGTTGCCATGAATGCCATTGGGCACTAAATTACAAAATTTTTAATAGAAAATTTGGGTATTAACTCTTAAAAGATAAAGTAAGTAAGTCGGAAGCATATATCGTGTTGGTTCTCTTTCTTGTCGATGGAGTATATGTAGTTGAAATCAAATTAATAAGTAAACTCATATAATGTGTTTTCCAATGTAATTTTGAAATTGTTTTTTTCTGTCATTTTCGTTAATTCAGTGGAAGTGGCCAAGTGAAAATCTGGCATTAGAGTTGTTTTCCATCAAAAGAAGTGAAAAAAATCTGGCTCCAAACGCAGCATAGAAAAAATTTAGCAAATTTTTAATACAAATTAGACCTTAAATAAACTTTTAGAAGCAAAAATTTTAATTATGCATAAAAATATTTTAATGCCAAAATTAAAAAAATTATAACTGCTAATTGGCTAAGCCAATTCTATTTGGCGTCATTATCAAAATCGAAAGCTTGATTTGTGTGTGCCTAAATTTAGGTGATTTAGTTGACTATTTGAGCATAGTATTAAATTTCCGAATGGGTTTAAACCAGCTTGAGAAAAAAATGCGACTATGAAATCTTGTCAGCAAAGGTTTAAAGAAAAAGTTTTTCACATATCGCTGCAAATTTTCTTGGCATACTTCCTGGATGTTATGTTACAAATTTTGATGAAAATTTTTGGTTAAAATGTATAAAAAATTACAAGAAGATGCGTACAAAGAGTAGAACCGCGTAAATTAAGTGCATAAGTATCTAAAATATTTGTAAATATCAAAATTATGATCAAGTCATAAATATTCTGTGTGTATTTTTAAAAGTGATATGTACATTAGGGTGCCCCACCATGGAAAAAAGCGGGATTTTCCGAAAAATTTCCGTCAAATTATTTTGGAAAAATATTAAGATTTACGTAAGCTGAATCGATTTGAAAAGAGGCACGAAAATCGAGTTTTTTAATAAAATTAGTTTTTAAAATTATTTATTCCAAAAAATCATTTCTGATTATTGAAGAGTTCAAGCTTCAAAGGTCTGCACAAAAATGTGTGAACTTTTTATCAATAGAATGAAAGTAATGAGATTTCTGGAGGTATTTTCAAATAGGCCCAGCTTACGTAAATCTTAATATTCTTGTGAAATATTTTGGCGTAAGTCTTAAAATGTAATAGATTTTATAATTCTGATAGAAAAATAGTAGCGATTTTTTCTTGTATGGGGAGTGATGCACCCTAATACACATATATATGTACATACATACATATCGCTAGCTTAGAAAGAAAAGTTGCTAAGTCCCATTTTAAAAATTTTACAGGAGAGGAAAAAATCTTCCTATAGCCATTTTCTTTAACTATTTCGCAAGACTTTGAATCAAACATTTTGCGCGTTTAAAGAAAAGCAAAACTCCATAAGAATCAGAAGGATTCGATATTTATTAAAAGATGTCGTATTATTTTGGCCTTATCGGATTTGTGGTACTTCTTTTGGACTTAGCAAATTTTCCTTTTGTTGCTTATGAAGAGGACAAAATAAAACAAATACCTTTATAATTTTCGAAACGATGCGTATTCAGTTTCTTTAGCCTCCTATATCAAAATATGAGTTTTCATAAAAAGTGGAATTAGCAACTTTTCACTCTAAGCTAGCGATATAATGTTTTCAAGGCCAATTTTTTAAAATATTTTTTGTTCTTAGAGCTATGCAAATGTTTGCATGTATATTTTAAAAACATACATACATATGGTTTTTAAATACTTTGTTTATTTATTTTATTTATACTTATACCTTTTTGAATTCTTTAAACTATGCAAGCACTAAATTTTCTTTCGCTTATAATTAGTTAATAATGTTTGCATACATATAGCATAATCTAATACGAATATATATGTAGGTATCTATGTATGTATATAAACACTTATGCAATAAGAATATAGCGTTAACATATGTATACAGTTACATATTTATGCATACATATATTTGCATGTGCCGTTATTTCCGATCTCCTTCCCATCCACCACCATTCCATTTCCTCTTCAATCCCATTCCCCAATGTACATGGTGCGGNTTATGCATACATATATTTGCATGTGCCGTTATTTCCGATCTCCTTCCCATTCACCACCAATCCATTTCCTCTTCAATCCCATTCCCCAATGTACATGGTGCGGGGTGTGGGCACATAGCCACGCGTTGGCAGTGGCAAGCGACCATAGATGTGATTATATGGTGATTCAACTAAATCGGCATCTGAAAGAGTGAATAAAAATTAATACATACCAAGACTGGCATTTAACATAGGACAATAATGGTGAGGGAGGTGTAGGTGAAAGCATAGCAGTTATACAACGCTTTTATTTAAGGATATGTCTAACTACAATACAAATGTCCAGGTCCCGGTCCAGGTCCGCAAAACAATAACATTATTATTTTTTAAATAAAATTCGTAATACTTATTATTTTAATTTCATACGCCTGCTTAAAAGCAAATATTTTACGCGGTTAGGCTNGTCCCGGTCCAGGTCCGCAAAACAATAACATTATTATTTTTTAAATAAAACTCGTAATACTTTTTACTTTAATTTCATACGCCTGCTTAAAAGCAAATATTTTACGCGGTTAGGCTAAAAAAAACTAATATTACTTATGTATACTTTATCTGAAACATATTTACAAGATTATATACAATACGTCAACGAATATGGGATTAAAGATCTTGTTCGGTTGAACTGACGGTTTTTGTGTTGTAATGATGCGAAGCTTTTTCCTTAAATTCTTATTTTTATTTTTTAGTTTATAGTAGTACATAAGTATATGTAAAGTGGATAAGACTACGTCTTCGAAAAGGCTACAAAACCAGAATTTTTAGCTGACAAAATACTCTTAAGTACATACGTGGGTTCGGTATCTGCACCGTCGACATTATCTGCTCGCAAAGGTTTTCCATACCAAAGATTGGAAGGTCGGGTAGGACGAGCGGGAGACCTTTGGTAGAGTAAGAAGTGAAGTATGTTATTTATTTAAAACTAGTTTTATGTAGCCCTCGATGCTTTAGAGCCATGAAGCGATACGTTTTTTATGATCGTTCTGAAAGAAGTGGATGTTAAGTTTTGCTACTATTCACGACGTGTACCAAAGGTAGTCAGACTGACATTTGACAGTGGGGTTAATAACACAGCAATTTCTATTAAAAATTTTGAGCGTAACGTTTGACAGAAACGAGGCTTTTAACTCGCTAACAACTTTGACTCGGAGCGACTTGTCAGAACACTGCTCTGCGGACAACCGCTAGATGACTCCCTAAGATGACAGATAATGAGGCCCAGAAGGGACCAGCACTGCAGACATTTGCTAGAAATTGAGCCGTACTCTTGAGGAATACCCAATTTCTAACATCTACAGAACTCAATTCGCCATAACGCCATTCATAGGTGATTTGTCTAAATCTTCCACAAGCTTTGGACATATGAACGCCGTGATGGAAGTTCAACTACCATCTGTTGCGGCAAGGAAACTCGTAAAACGTATGCAAAATTTCGCGCTGGATACTGTAATACTTGGGCTCAACTGCTTTTTATCCAGAACCGTTGTGTCAGGCATGCGGAATTCAAACAAAATTTTTTAGACGAGCTCTCGATTTAGTTCGACTGACCCTGTTCAAACTCCATCTTTCCTGAGTGTCTGTTTAAAAGACACTTTTGATGAAAGTTTTCGACTCTTTTAATGACAGAAATGATACTTAATAACACGGGTAGCTGCGCCGCTTTACACCGGGAAAAAGTCCAAAATCCCTACCTTCTCGGGAACTGTGCCGACAGATTTGGACTTCTACAGAAGCTGGAGGAAAGGTTAAAGTCCTCAGAGCGACAGCTATGTTCTGCGGAAGCCGGTAGGACTAAACCCCCTGAGAGAAAGTCCACCCGGCCCGTCCCCATATGCCGAATCCAAGTCCTCTACGGACAAGCAGAGGACCACTCCTGCACGAAACGCTCCTTAAAAGGTAGTAGCATAGGAAAATTACCTCAATCAGAACCCGGAGGCTCAAAAAAGGAGGGAAAGACAAACCACCGACGGCTTCCAAGAGACAGCGATCTCTGGATGACACCTCGCGTAGTACTGGGCTTCCTCACTCTCCTACCGTTAATCGATGGCCAACAGCACCGCGAAGACTTTCAGCGAGGATGCTTAAAGATGGCCACATCAGCACGGACAACAGCAATTCCGTTCTTATGGATCTATGTAAAGAGTGTAAAGCGAGTATAATGGAAGGACCGCTCTACATTTCGAGTACCGCTCTATCTTGGAGAGTATTTAATACTATCCATGTCACTGTCTATCCCGCCCTAGCCAAGACGCGCAATCACACCTTCAACAAGTACTTTTTAGATTGCTTAGTCGACCTGAACTCAGCGAATATTCTCAGTTTTTAAGGGAAGGAAGGAGACAAATGGCTTCCGCCAGTGGTACGACAACGCGATTTTTCATCTCATGTGCGCCTCNGATTAAAGATCTTGTTCGGTTGAACTGACGGTTTTTGTGTTGTAATGATGAGCAGCTTTTCCTTTAAATTCTTATTATTCTTCTTTAGTTTATAGTAGTACATAAGTATATGTATAGTGGATAAGACTACGTCTTCGAAAAAACTACAAAACCAGAATTTTTAGCTAACAAAATACTCTTAAGTACATACGTGGGTTCGGTATCTGCACCGACGCCATTATCTGCTCGCAAAGGTTTTCCATACCCAAGATGTTTTGCCTTGAACAGATAAAGTCTTAACACTGGAAGGTCGGGTAGGACGAGCGGGAGACCTTTGGTAGAGTAAGAGGTGAAGTATGTTATTTATATAAAACTAGTAGCTATATAATGTTGCCCTCGAAGCTTTAGGGTCATGGAGCGATATGTTTTATGATCGTTCTGAAAGAAGTGCATTTCGGACACTGCATGACTTTTTTTCGGTCAACACAACAGACCATCTGAACCGTTTTGTCTGGCATGTGAAACCGCGTCGACGGAGCCCAGAGAGCTTGCACGGCCCAAACAAGATTCGAACTTCTACCGAAGCTGGAGGAAAGTTTAAAACCCTCAGAGCGAAAGGTATGTTCTACAGAAGCGGGTAGGACTAAACCCCCTGATAGAAAGTCCGCCCGACCCGTTCCCATATGCCAAATCCAATCCTCTACGGACAAGCAGAGGACCACTCCTCCACGAAACGCTCCTTAAAAGGTAGTAACAAAGGAAAATTACCTCAATCAGGACCCGGATGCTCAAAAAACCTTGAGGGTAAGTTTTGCTCTACGTCAGACCGAAGGGCAGCCCCTAAAGTCAACAAAAAGCTTGGGATCTTCACACATAATCGACTGACGGAGGAGCAAAAACCCTGTCTTAAGGGGACCATGGGAGTCATGTGGTACAGGGCTTCCTCACTTTCTAACCGTCAATCGATGGCCGAAAGCACCGCGAAGACGTTCAGCGCGGCTGCTAAAGAGTACCTTACGCTTGTGGTGTTGAACAAGCGTTATTCGGATGGCCACATCAGCACGGACAACAGGAATTCTGTTCTTATGGATCTATACAAGTAGTGTAAAGCGAGTATAACGGGAGGACCACTCTACTTTTCGAGTATCGCTCTATCTTGGAGAGTATTTAATACTATCCCTGTCACTGTCTGTCCCGCCCCAGCCAAGATATGCAATCGCTTCTTCAACAAGTACTTTTTAGATTGCCTAGTCGACCTGAACTCAGCGAACATTTTCAGTTTTTAGGGAACGAAAGAGACAAATGGCTTCCGCCAGTGTATGACAACGCGATTTTTCAGCTCATGTGTTTACAAATAACTTAATCAACTAGATATTAAATTTTTCGAGAAAATACTTTTCGAAACTTTCTCGGAATTTTTGATGTGCTTTACGGGATTTTTTTCAGGCCTCTTTGCGATTTCTTTTAGGCAAATTTTGGAATGTTTCTCTAAATAAAAAAATGTTTTTTTCTTATAATAAATACTGGGTGGGGTTTCGTATAAAAATTCCTGTGGAATGAAAGATTCGACACGTGTTTGCGCGAAGGCTTATTCAAATGTCCAAAACTGGTTTAAATTTATAAATTCAAAATCTACCAAAACCCAAAAAACAATACCATAACCCTAAATTAAATAAAGGTATAACATTGGTAGTCGAGAATGAAGTCAAACCTATTTGGAAATCTGTTATTTCTAGTTCACAGTTTATATTCGATTCTCGGTTGGCTGTTTGGTTGATTGTACGCAGTCAGGTCGCAGTGCAGTGCCGTGCAGGTCGAAGTTGTCAAGATTTTCAAATTGTACAAAAGTACTGTTTATATTTCGATGTCCGTATAAATTTTATTTTCGGCTACACCGCAAAAATGCATATGTATATGTATCTCATCTTCCATCATCAATAGTCGAGTATTTGAATTTTTTTGAGACTTAAGCTGCGTGGCTTACGCGGTTTCAAATAGCCATAAATCGATTCCATATCACTAACGTCCAAACGACTAGTCGCACGGCTGAGACGACCTTGCTGTTGCGATCGTACCTGCGGTTGGTTTGTCGCTGCTCCATAGCCGCCTGCAGTGAGAGGCAGTGGAAGGAGCGAACTCGAGTTTTTTATTGCGGTGGTTGTTGCATTTGTGTTCTTTAATGCAGCNAAAACGTAAACAAGTTGCACCAGTGTGACGTCATGCAAACAACGATTCTGTCAAATTCGTTAAGAGAGGAATAGCGGTCCGAGATCGGCGCAACCTTTGTATTCTCTCAATCGTGCCTTTGCACGGTAGCAGACGGTGCAACCTCAAATAACTTAATCAACTAGATATTAAGTTTTTCGAGAAAATACTTTTCCTTTCTCTTATAATAAATATTCGGTGGGGTCTCGTATAAAAATTCCTATCGAATGAAAGATTCGACACGTGTTTGCGCGAAGACTTATTCAAATGTCCAAAACTGGTTTAAATTTATAAATTCAAAATCTACCAAAACCCAAAAAACAATACCATAACCCTAAATTAAATAAAGGCATAACATTGGTAGTCGAGATTGAAGTCAAACCTATTTGGAAATCTGTTATTTCTAGTTCACAGTTTATATTCGATTCTCGGTTGGCTGTTTGGTTGGTTGTACGCAGTCAGGTCGCAGTGCAGTGCCGTGCAGGTCGAAGTTGTCAAGATTTTCAAATTGTACAAAAGTACTGTTTATATTTCGATGTCCTTATAAATTTTATTTTCGGCTGCAGCGTAAAAATACATATGTATATGCGTCTCATCTTCCATCATCAATAATCGAGTATTTGAATTTTTTTGAGACTTAAGCTGCGTGGCTTACGCGGTTTCAAATAGCCATAAATCGATTCCATATCACTAACGTCCAAACGACTAGTCGCACGGCTGAGACGACCTTGCTGTTGCGATCGTACCTGCGGTTGGTTTGTCGCTGCTCCATAGCCGACTGCAGTGAGAGGCAGTTGAAGGAGCGAACTCGAGTTTTTTATTGCGGTGGTTGTTGTATTTGTGTTCTTTAACGCAGCATTGCTTCGCGCATTGCTGGTGTCGTTTGTTACGCGCTGCACTTTCACTGCATCCTTTGACATTTTCGACACCGCCTTCTCGCAATTATTCAAGTGTTGTTGGTGCTTTTGCTGTTGCTTTTGTTTTTGCAATTGTTTGAGCTCAACTTCGAGCTTTTGTTTCATTTGCGCCTGCTGACGTTTCTGACTTTGCGCTTTCATTTCGAAGGCCGCTTTGGTAGCTGCCACAATGCTGCCGCCGCTCGGTGGAGCGTCATTAGTTGTTGCCTTCGCTGCACTGGCAGCTGGCTGTGCAACTGGTGTTATTGTTGTCGTGCTGCCACTGCAATTACTACTATTCTTACGACGCCAACGAGGTGGCGGCAGCGCTGGCTGTTCTAACAAAGCTGCTGTTTGTGACGTTGTACTGGCTGTTGTTTTTGTTGGAGCTTTTATGCCACTCTTTTCTGGCATTCCCAACCCCAGCTTGTGTCGCTGAAAGTAAAGCAGTTCTCTTTCTTGTAAATTTCGAAAGCGCGCCTTTTCGTTGCCATCGTTGTCGTCGCTTGTGTTGCGCGCGTGCCTCTCATTTACGGGTGTCAGTGGCGCTAGGCTGCTTTTGTTACGCGCGCGTAATCGATCATAAAGATTTGTGGTAGATGGGGACTTAACGATACGCTTTCGACCACCATACATGTAGAGAGAACCCTCCTCGTTGGGTTGCTCGAAGAAACTTTCGATTGAAATCGATTTTTGACGCAGCAGCGCGGGGGAGTGTACAAATTCCTCTCTAAATCTACTGGCATTTATGCGATCGCCTGCGCTAAATTCATCAGCGGTGTTGTTCTCGGTGGGCGGCTGTGGCGGCGGTGGTGAACGCAGTTGCCGCAATCTCTGTGTGTGGCGGTCCAAATGTGGCGCGTCCCAGTCAGTATTGTCATGGTAGTCGCGTGCGGCGTATTGTCGCGTTTGCATAGCGTGCTCATTGTAACTTTTGATTTTAGTACTTGCGTGATTGTTATTTGCATCCACCATCGGTTGCTCAGCTTTGCGCGCGCTGTAATGTGGCGTAAGGTCCACGCAATCGAAATCAAGCTCATTGGCGTAGCGCGGTGCGTAATCACTTTCAAGCTTATAAATACAGTCAGTGTTGCGCGCGCTATACGCGTCATAAAAATCATCTGCTTCGCCGTCAGCCTCACCGAAGCCTTCGTCGTAAGTGTACGTATCGCTGGGTGCTAAATAGCGCTTGTGTCTCTGATTGAGCAAAGATATATCGCTTTCGCTGCACCATTTNAGCGTCATTAGTTGTTGCCTTCGCTGCACTGGCAGCTGGCTGTGCAACTGGTGTTATTGTTGTCGTGCTGCCACTGCAATTACTACTATTCTTACGACGCCAACGAGGTGGCGGCAGCGCTGGCTGTTCTAACAAAGCTGCTGTTTGTGACGTTGTACTGGCTGTTGTTTTTGTTGGAGCTTTTATGCCACTCTTTTCTGGCATTCCCAACCCCAGCTTGTGTCGCTGAAAGTAAAGCAGTTCTCTTTCTTGTAAATTTCGAAAGCGCGCCTTTTCGTTGCCATCGTTGTCGTCGCTTGTATTGCGCGCGTGCCTCTCATTTACGGGTGTCAGTGGCGCTAGGCTGCTTTTGTTACGCGCGCGTAATCGATCATAAAGATTTGTGGTAGATGGGGACTTAACGATACGCTTTCGACCACCATACATGTAGAGAGAACCCTCCTCGTTGGGTTGCTCGAAGAAACTTTCGATTGAAATCGATTTTTGACGCAGCAGCGCGGGGGAGTGTACAAATTCCTCTCTAAATCTACTGGCATTTATGCGATCGCCTGCGCTAAATTCATCAGCGGTGTTGTTCTCGGTGGGCGGCTGTGGCGGCGGTGGTGAACAGAGTTGCCGCAATCTCTGTGTGTGGCGATCCAAATGTGGCGCGTCCCAGTCTGTATTGTCATGGTAGTCGCGTGCGGCGTATTGTCGCGTTTGCATAGCGTGCTCATTGTAACTTTTGATTTTAGTACTTGCGTGATTGTTATTTGCATCCACCATCGGTTGCTCAGCTTTGCGCGCGCTGTAATGTGGCGTAAGGTCCACGCAATCGAAATCAAGCTCATTGGCGTAGCGCGGTGCGTAATCACTTTCAAGCTTATAAATACAGTCAGTGTTGCGCGCGCTATACGCGTCATAAAAATCATCTGCTTCGCCGTCAGCCTCACCGAAGCCTTCGTCGTAAGTGTACGTATCGCTGGGTGCTAAATAGCGCTTGTGTCTCTGATTGAGCAAAGATATATCGCTTTCGCTGCACCATTTCACTAAATTCAAACCGCTCGCGTTGGCGCATCTACCAACTGCCGCGCTGCCACCGGCATTTTCCACACCAGCGCTAGGCGTAGGGCCAGTGTTGTTCTTTGATGGACGCATTTGCGTTGACGGCAAAGGCGGCGGTGGAGGCGGCGGCGGTATATCCGCTAAGCTGCCACTTAGTTGCTGATGCAAACGCAACTGTTGTTGGCTGAGACTGCGCGGCGGCCGCGCTGGCTGAACAACGCCGAAAAGCGGCGCTAGGGTATAACAGCTAACGCAGTTGCAGTTGCTGCCCACCGCGCAGGTTGTGTCGCGTCGTGACCGACTTGAGCGCAAGCGGTGCGGTGAGAGCGTTTGTTGCAATTCGCGGCTTATACGACGAAAGCGTGAGCGACTGGGGCGCGCATGCGCGGTTAAGGGCAGCGGCGGCGGCGGCGACTGAGCGTCAATGTAATCTAGGTCAGGGTCGGGATAGTCTGAGTCAGTGAGGTGAAATTTGGTTGGCGTGAGCGGCGCTGGAAGTGGCGCATAGCAGGCGTGCATGTCAGTTGGCAGCTGTCGCCGCGCGCAATTGCGACTATGATGACGGTGATTGTGGTGGCTGGGATTGTGTTGCTGTTCAGTGTGGCGCTGATGATGGTGATGATGGTGGCGTTGAAGCGCTTGCTGCTGTCGATGTTGTTGTTGTTGTTGTTGTTGATGTTGCTGCTCTACTTTAAACTGTAAGCTACTGTTATGGTTTTTATTTTTATTGTTGTGGTGCTTGTTAAGTATTTGTTCGTGTCCGTCCATGCCATGAGCTGAGTCTGCCGCCATGCGCACTGGCGCCGCGGCGGCAGACAGCAGCTGTGGCAGTGCATTGTGCAGTTGTTTCTGTTGTTGTTGTTGTGCTTGTACTTGTACTTGTGACTGTGCATGTGCTTGTAACGTTGATGACTGTGCTGGATGCAATTGGTTCTTGCTGTTGTTGTTGTTGTTATTGTTGTTGTGATGGTCCATTAGAAAATTCGCATTGGCCGCGTTCAACTGCTGCTGACAACCACNACTGTGCATGTGCTTGTAACGTTGATGACTGTGCTGGATGCAATTGGTTCTTGCTGTTGTTGTTGTTGTTGTTATTGTTGTTGTGATGGTCCATTAGAAAATTCGCATTGGCCGCGTTCAACTGCTGCTGACAACCACTATTACTACTACTATAAATACCTATGCCGCTCTCAAAGCTGCGCGTCTGAAACATCGGATGCTGTGGCAGATGATGCTGATGATGTGCGATCGTAGCCGCCGCTGGATGATGATGATGTACCGCATGTGCCGCAGCTGCGGCCATTAACTGCTGTTGCTGAATGTGATGAGGATGCATGTGTGGTGGTGGCGGTGGTGCCACGTGCATGGAATGTTGCAAATTTGGCGCCGTCATCGACATGTGTAGCATGGAATTCTTCTTTTGGCTGAGCGTATTCATGTTGCTGCCATTGGAGTTGCCGTTAGTGTTGCTCATAGTGCCGTTGGCAATGCTGCCATTTGTGCCGTGCTCTTTATGTTCCTTAGAGGATTTTGACGATTTCACGAAGTTCGGTACGCGTGCACGTAAGCCGCAGTAGTAGGGATCATCTGAAATGAGAAAATTAAGTGAGCAATCACATAGTCAATTATCCTAATCGAAATATTTGGTACGAAGCCAGTGATCTCTGTGGACTAAAAGAAGCATTACGAATAGAAATTATTTTAGTTATGTATGCATTTCAAATATCGAGTGTTCTTCAATCACTTACCATACTTATTATTGTCTTTGCCTTTGTCTGATTTGCCACGAGACAATTTGATTCTGGTATCTACATCGATATCATCGTAATCAGGCTGAAAGAGGAAAATTGAATTGTATATCGTCCGCTTTAAAATCTTGAAAGTTTATGTAGTTGTCTCAATGTTACTTAAAGCTACATTCATTATGATCTATTTAAGTATAAAATACTCTGCGTCATAAGCAATGCGGATTCCGGCAATTGTTTTAGTGTCGGGGTGAACCTGGAGACAAGGTGACGGAGTCTCATTTCAACCACAAATCATAAACTAAATATGTGGTCCAAAAAATTTCCATCAATACTTCGTTCATGGCTTTATGGCATCCAGCCATTGGATAGAGTTACTACCCGCTCTATAGTTTGGGGAATACAGGTGTATCGTAAATCGACGCCCTTCTTCTGTTTTCGGGGGTAGTCAAAATTAAAAGAAAAAAAAACACTTGTCGCTTCACACATAGAGATAAATAGACGTAGAGATAATTGGCGTATTGTGCCCTCAGAGGGAGGCAGAAAGTGTATGTGCTCTTATCTTGGCCATAGATGATCCTTGCACTTGTCTCTACTCCGTGAAACGACCTCACACTCCAGGAGGTGGAATGACGTTTCTTATTCGAAAAAAAAAAATAAAAAAATAAAAAATAAAGTGATGTCTATGTTTAGCCAAACCCACCTACCGAGATGTATTTCGACCCAATGAATCTGTATCTGAGGTTCGTTTGACTCGTATACCTCATAAATTTCGAGTTAATTGCGAAAATTGTGAAAAAATGCCAATTTACTCGAATTTTGAGGGTGTACGAGTTAAACGGACCAAAGATTCGAATTTAGCGCGTTGAAATACATGTCGGTAGGTGGGTCTGGTTAAAAGAACACACCACAATTTTTTTTTTGTGTGCCGGTGCTATTAATCCTACAAAAGCTATTATTGCTCCATTTACTCGAGGGACGAAATTATCTACGACAAAACTGACTTTGAGCGGCACAGAAATAAAAGCTAGATATCTGGCGGAACCCTTGATAAAATATTCAACTGGAATGCTCATTTGGACGCTGTTATCAATACGGCGATGAAGGCCTTCTTTGCCTTCACATCTTTTTGGTAAACTATGGGGCCTTACTTTCATTAAACACTGTCCTAAAGCCAATAGTAACCTATGCTTCCTTAGAATGGTGGACTAAGTCAACACAAAGAACCGCAAGCACTAAACTAAGTAAATTTCTTAGAATGGTTTGCATTGGCATTAAAGCAGCTATAAAGACCTGTTCGGCTGATACACTCAGAGCCTTGGATCCGATCTGAAAATCGCGGGTCACATGAAGATCCTTATGAAATTCACTAATGGCCCCATATTGCAAATAGGATAGGTACCGGGACATGATGGCAATGAGGAGGCTGACCCTAGCGAAACAGGGAGCTACCGCAGTATTTTATGGTTCCTTTTGTGGGCTCACAAAGCATGCATAAAAGGGACCATAAACAACTGGGTAGAAAGAAATGTTCAACCGGCACTGGATGGAATGTCTAGGGCAGAGACAAGCCTAACGATTTATATCTCCTTCAAAAGAAGCTTGAAAGATACTATTGCATTTAGGCAGAGATGAGCCCCAAATCTCTCTCCGGGGACTACACGGGACACTGCTCCCTTCGCTATCACCTCAGTAAAATTAATTTCTCAGAAACAAATGCCTGTGCGCTGCACGAATAAGCGCCAGAAAACATTCGCTGTGAATGTAACGCTAGGCGCAGATGAGCTCACTTGAGTGGTGCTACTGTTAATATATTTGCGATCTTGAACAAAACGCCCTTGGCAGTACTAAGCTACATTAAAGGCCTTCCCATATAGGGCGCAGCGCCGCGCACATTAGATCGCTTTGGAGATCGCGGTGCACCGCTATGGGAGGAATCGAACGTTGATTCTGTCGCGCGCACCTCCAGCCACCTGACCTTGCTTCGACTTGTCCTAACCCACTTAAGAGGTACGTGCTATTTTCTTGATGTTTTTACCCAACGTTTTTAAGGAAGCGATTTGCCCTCCCTATTTATATCGCTCATCATATCACTTGCAATGAAATTCATTGCGACCTAACCTGATTATATCAACGTTTTTTAATTTACAGCGAGCTTGGCGCCAAAAAAAGAAGTTTGATTTATTTGGGATTTTGGCATATCGCTACTTAGCTATTAACTCTAATGTACGTTTATTTTAACAACAAATATTTCATATTGCACAAAATGCAATTCGTTGCATTTCAACAAACCACTGAATCGCCTCAAGCGAAGAAGGGCCCCACCGAGTCGATCAACTGCAAAGCAATAAAAAATATGAGCGCAGATAGACCGCTTTGCAACGCCAATCCAATGTAATGCATATCAATGCAAAACTTGTTCTTCATATTCATACCAGTAAGTATGAAATGTAGTTTATATACCGACATACATACCCACTAGGTACATAAATGTGTGCTTATAAATATAGTTAGTTGGAATTATGTCAAAATAACTGCAATTGCCGCTTGATATCGCGTGTAATTAATATGCGAAGAATGTTGTATTTATTGCGCATGCGCGCGCACACACTCAAACCAATCAACACAAGGCAACACAAGGCAACACGGTTAGTGCATTACAGCTACCAATGCACGCCTTGTTGTTGTTGGTGTTGCTGCCGGTTCACACTATGCCATGCCTAAGCCACTTCACCTAAGAATAATAAATTGTAATTGTGATTTCACAATCGAAATATGCTTCGCCCATTGTTCCCATTGTAATTTTTAAAAGAAAAAAAAAACTTTTTAGTTTGGTTATAAATACTGAAGCTTATCGCGAAATTCATATGCAAGTACATACATATATTTTTGGTTTGCTTGAAATGGAGTGGCAAGAAAATTTAGTAGCAGGCAAAGAAATTTGCTTTCTTTAAACGAATTGAATGGTCTTCAAACGATTAGATTTGGACATCTTAAATAACTCAAAAGTACTGATGTTTTACATGCATTGGGTGACTCTCTTGACAGCGCAAGTATTTAGAAAGTATTTGGAAGAATTAAAATTTTTAAAAATTTTTGAAGTGAACGGAGACTGCACACGGAAATCGTATTTTCCTCTACATTAGAACGAAAAGGGTACAGGTAGGGATTAAGAACGAAAAATGATAAAATATAACCGTAAGCTTATAAGAAAAATATATTTTCAATAACACCTCAGAAATGTCATAATTTTGCAGCACTCTTTGCTCCTTTTCATGAACTGTGTACTACTGAAGAGCTACTCAGAACTATTTTTACTTTTTTCAAACATTTTAATTTTCTACTTAAAAAAAGTTTTAGGCTAAATTTTGCGGGACTTTTTTTTTACTTACTTATACATTTTCTTCTCGTTTGAAAACATTTTTCTTTGCGTAATTTAGCAGAGTTTTTTTCTTTTGAGGAACTCTAGAACTGTTCAAAAGCTACCCAGAATAATTTTAATTTAAATTTTTTTTCAAACATTTTTTCGACTTGTTTGAAAAAAATTATTTTAGGCGTTCTTTTTCAAAACTTTTTTTTCTTTTTTTTTCTAGAAAAGATACTTGGAGTTTATGTATATTATTATTAAAAAAAATATTTTAAGCGTAATTTTACAGATATTTTGTATTTTGGAACTCAAGAACTATTGAAAAGCTGCTCCGAAAAGTTTTTTATTTGCGTTTTGCGACATGTCGTATGCTGCATGAATTTGGCAAAAACATAAAAAATATGTTTTTTTTTTAATATTTTTTTTTTGTCATTTTGTATGCCAACTTCACAGGCATTCCCTATGCCAACACTCACCTTCGGTATGATGTCATGTGCGTAGATATTGTCGCGTGGCGGCAATTTTGGCGGCTTTTCGCTCCGCTTATGTGCCAATTGTTGTGTCTGCAACAACAACTGTTCACGTGTGGCTGCCACATGACCGGCGACAGCTGCTCCACCATTGATGCCGACGCCACCATTCTCTCTATGCAAACCAATGCCCATGCCAGCTGCTGACTGTTGTTGTTGTTGCTGCTGATGATGGCCCGAACTGCTGCCAGCACCGAAACCAGAGCTGCCCGAACTGCCGCCACTACCATTGCCGGCCACACTGTAAGGATCTTCATCGGGTATGGGAATTCTTGGGCGATTCTTAATGTCCACAACTGGACGTTGCACTGTAGTGATAAAAAAAAAAAAAAAACGATAAAATTTTAGCAAGCTGAAAAATGTGGAATTTCGTTATGTTAGATGCTGTTGGAAAACACACAAATCATTTATTGCTGCCAATTGTGCGCCGTAGATTTTGCTACCAAGAAATATGTAAATTTGCAGACTATGCCGCAGCGCTGGCATGCTATTGGTTATTGCAGCTATTTTGCTGCTATCACATTGTTATTGTTTCATTACAATTGACTATGTATTTAGAATGCGTTGACATGCGTTCGATGCGTAGATGCACGGATACACTTACGCATACTTATGGATTTTTGATTTATGAGACAAATGCTTTGGGACAATAGTTTCGTGGTGCGTGTGGCATGCGGTTGGCGTGCATGCCATCTGTGTGTTGCTTTATTTGCCGCCCTTTATCTTGCTCGATACAGAAGCCAGAAGCTGACACTTTGACATTTTAAAAGCGAAATGAAAATGTTCGCTCGCTGGCATTTGAAATTTACCGCAAAAAATGTAGCTTTGCATTCTTATAAGCACACAGACATTTTTACATAAACACATACATATGTATGTATGTATGTATGTATGTATGTAAAGTAGGTGCATTAAAAGTTTATAGTTACAGAAGTGTGCTCGTAGCTGCGCGCAAAAGCGAAAGGCCAGCCTGCAGCCGCAACAGCATTGGTGCAACAAACGGCGCACCACAGCGCTTGAGAGCGGCAGCAACCTTGAACTGCTTGTCGAGCAAATGGGGAGTGAAACGCAAGAAGTTAAAAAAAAAAAATATTAAAATATAAATGAAAAATAGAAATATCGCATACATACATTCATATGCAGGTATGTGGGTATGTAAGCAGGTTTATTGGCTGCTACTCTGGCGCAATGCAAACAAAAATGAGATCTTCGTGCGGATGCATGAGATGTATGCATGCACTTTCAACCTCATGCAACTATAACAATTTAACTACAACGACATTAGCCAGCGATAGATAAACTCACTACGACGATGAAGCGCAAGCGCAGCCAAACCTAATAAATTACACCATTTACTAACATTTTGCAGCACTTCACAAATGAATTGTTCAACAAGGGGCGCGGAAAATGGATGGTTTTTATTGCAATAATAATTTGCAGCTTTATATGTATCTATATCTATACATACATTAGGTCATGTCAGATATTCCTTGGTATTTCTATTTAATAATTTAATTTGTAACTATTTTTATTTTTCTTTCAATACACTTACCTGGTGGCAATTTGCTCTTCAACATATCCATGGCGACTACATTTACTATGAGCACCCAGATGGGACAATCTAGTATATCATTCTCCGATTTGACAAAGGCCACTACGGATAAGCATTGTGTCTCAAGGCGTCGACGATCGGGGTAAGCGCGTCGCAGTTCACGATTTACATTTGATTGAAACTTTTTCATATCGAATAACTGGTGGGGAAGACAAGAAAAAATATTGTAATGTTTATGAAAATTAGTAAGCTTAAAATCCTACTTATCATCAAAAAATGTATGTATGAAATAATCTGTTAAAAATCTGAAACACAAATAACGCCTAGGTTACTAACCATGCCCTAGTGTTTACCATACTAGGCTTATTTTTAAAATTTTACATATGTATGAAAACCTTCTCAAACAAAAAACTGAAGTTAACTTTTTTAAAACTGTAACTTTACTAAAGTGGGCGCATATAGGATAACCCATGATAAAAATATAGTAAGGTATAACCGCTGAGAGGCACTTTTAAAATTCTTGACGTTTCCAAACAATTTAATTTTTAAATTTACTCACAAACTCACACACACATTTTCATTTTCAATCTCAAGCAACAACAATTTCGAACAATTTTTATTTTTTTTTTTCACTTTTATATGATTTTAAAATGTTGGCAAACTTCAAAAAAAAATCATGGCCGACAAATTGAGAGAACGGTTCTACCTTGCTATGTTTTTATCATGGGATAACCGAGAAGGCGATGAGTTTTTTTAAGTGGGCATGACACCTTCCATAGACGTTGTACATTCAGAAAACCATAAATCGCATGACTCTGAAATGTGGTGAAGACCTAGTACTTGTGATAGAAAAGGTAAGTTTGTACGTACAGTGACGGCCAAAACTGTAACATGGTGTAACACCTTTTACTTCAGCCATCGCTATCTTTCCATGTTTTAACGACATTTATACTTTTCTTTTATATTCTTATTGGTACACCTGTACTTCCTCTCTCATAACGAATTGAAGTCAATCCAACAACAATAATAAAACCAGCAGACAAAAATGTAAATTAAGGCATATGTTACAGTTTTGCACTTATATATTTTTAATAACTTTTTGACAATTTTTACGAAAAAAGAGCTGTTAACACAGTGTTCAGTATCATTTTGCTTTTTTTAGTTCCTGGATGCGATTTGGCATACCTTATTTGCATCTCTGTAAAAATTCTGGAGGTATATCCTCCCATATATCCTTAGTTTGCTTTCATAGCTCATGTACTCCATTGGACGAACTTGGATACTTATTAAGCTTTACTTTTAGTTGTTTTCGCAAATTCTCGATGAGATTTATGTCCGCGGATTGTGGAGGTCATTTCAAATTAGCAAATTTTTGCTTTTGTATGCAGTCTTTGCGAACATGTGCAGTGTGTTTTGTGTGATTTTTAAGCAGAAACTCTCATTTTTTCGACTATATCTAGCAAATTTTGTTGAAATATGAACAGATACTGTTCTTTACGCGTAATGCGGACTAACAGACCAAGAACATTTTTGAAATGCAACCCCAAGCTATTACTGATCGACCACTGATATTCACAGTTTACCTTACATAATACGCATGGGCTTAATTTGGGTCTTTGATCCAATACCATTCCCGGCCATCTGATTGAAAGCGATTAATATAGTCTTGTCAGACCAAATAACCTTCAATTGCACCTTAAAAATGTGTTTTTTTATTACATTCTGAAATACCTAACATATCCCAATAGGCAACGGTCCGGTTTTCGTGCGATGCAGCAAAATGCCGCCACACTCACACATGTATTTTGATCAAATTTGCCTTTTTCTTCTTTTATGATCCTTTGCGCTCAATTTGGCAACTCTTCGTCTCGCTGTCTACTGATTTGCATTAAAGTTCAATACCTTAAGCGCTTCTGAAACAGTGGCTGCATCGCGACTTGCTGCTAAGTTCACAAGTTATCGGACCGTAATATTTTTTGACAGCCTTCCTTTGTCCTTGGGAATGCTTTAGGCTATATTTTTTCTCAGTCTTAACATTTTCAAGTAGCATACTCCACAATTTTTTACCACTTTTCCTGCGGTCCCGCCTTTCCGCAGTAAATCTATTATTTACATTTATGGTTTTTGATTCTTATATTATTTACTAGTGATCACTTCGTCAATAAATTACAATACAGGAAGAAGTCATCTGACTTCCAACTAAGGAAAAGATAACTGTAAAATGCAAAACTGAGAGTGAGTGCAAAACTGTAACATTTGCCTTAATTTACATTTTTGTCTGCTGGTTGTATTATTGTTGTTGGATTGACTTCAAATCGTTAAGAGAGAGGGAGTATAGGTGTACCAATAAGAATATACAACATAAGTATGAAAGTCGTTAGAACTTGGATAGATAGCGGTGGCTGAAATAAAAAGTGTTATAACATGTTAAAGTTTTGCTCGTCACTGTATATATAAATGAGTTTGTACAAGGAGGCATGGCACATCCCATATTAGTAAGATTTTTAATCAGTCATTTCTTCACCCCGAAAAACGTCGGGTACTCTGCTAATTTAAGTTCAAAACAATGCAATACTTACTTTGACTATTTTTTCACTTTCCAATGCTTGATTTGGCAATTTGAGTATGTCTGCACCAATGGATGTCTCCTCGTTGGGGTTACTCGCTGTGCTCTTAATGTAGACATTACTTTTGGCATAGCGACGAACGAGTATATTACCAGCATCATCCATTTTAATTTTAACACCCTGAAAATTTAGAGAATTGAAAAATGAAAATAAGAATGCATATTATTATTCGAATTTCGTTAGGTTAATTAAAAAAGGATTAAGTTTTGTATTTGTGTGAACTACATAATTTTTCTTTATCGATTTTTGTTTTTAAAAGGAAACGCTTTTTTTTTTTAATATGTATGTAATCTAATAATTGCCACCGCTGGCATAACATATCGCAACACCCCCATTAACTCGAAATCCGCAGAGGACAGAAAACGCGAGTCCAACGACACGCACATACATATGTACCTATGTATGTAAGTGTTAGCCGATTTACGCTAGAGCGTGGTGCTATGCAGCCTCAGGCAATAGCTGCGGTTTTGTTTCTCGAATGTGAGCAACAATTTGGCAATAATTCTATGAACCTATGTACATACATATGGGCCGGGCCATTCCAGCGAAGACGACACCACAGGTAAAAAAAATTACATAGAGTGTGTTTAAATCTGTGACAATGGTGAAACAGGTAGAATACTTCTTTAGAAATCGATTTTTATCGATTTATTTTTCACCATTTTTCTTTACGCTTATTGTTAGAAACGCAGCCGGACACAGTGCGACTCTCTCTGATATAATAATTTTTGATCAAGCAGTCAAGGCCATTCATGGACCTTAAAAGAGTGATAGGTTATTTCAAAAATACATTCGCCCTACACAGTAAAATATGTACATTTTTTAAAGTAACTTACAAATGCGTAAGTTTCCCATGTTCAAATAAGGGCCTTTTCTCAAAAATAAAATACATAAATTTTGACATGAAGCCAGTAGTGTATATTTTTCCCACAAACTGCAGTGACTCAAACAAATGGCCACGTGTTGAATTTTTTAAATATTCGTAATATTTTTCGTGCTAATTTTTTTTGTTATTTTTTTTTAATAAAAATCCATTGATTTTTGAAAATTATTTTTGGTGAGGGACTTTTGCACTTTTTTTAAATAAAGTGCAGGAGACTGTTAGCAACAACATTTAAAAAAATCAAAATCTGTTTTTGTAAATTGCACTTGTTATATAAAAAACTGCAACAAAAAATCCTCAAAAATCAACGCGATTTTTCAGCCGGTTGAAACTTGCACTTCATCCATAAAACGGCATACCCTAAAATGTTGTAAAGATTCAGATTAAAAAGTTGATATTTTGATGAAAATTTGTTGAATTTTCCTAAATTTTGTATAAAGTTTCACACTGGGATTTATATGGTTTTGATTAAAGTTTGAACAGTATTTTTATAGAAAAATAACAAAAAAATTTAGCCCGAAATATATTACGAATATTTAAAAAAATCAAGTTTTTGGAGTCACTGTATGTGTTCTTAATAGTGACAAAAGCAAACATTTTTTTTAATTTCAAAAATTTTCCTTAAAGCAAAAAGTGCACCTCTGAACGAAATATATGTAGCTTGTCCAAAGTTTTTTTTTTTAATTTTAAAAATTTTCTTTAAAGCCAAATTAATTGTTAAAGTTTGAGCAAAGAAAAGTTAAAATGACCGACTCGTCACCTTGGAACGCCCCGAATTCTATTAAGGCTCCTTACAAAATATTTTTCAGCATTCGTTTTGTAAACAAGCAGTGTTTTGTAAAAACATTACTGATATCGGTTTACTTTCAAATAAACGAAAAAAAAAATCAGTTTTATATTTATTTTTTAGTGTTGTTCATTCAACTACTTTATCAGGTTAAGTGGCGATTTTGTGTTCTCGCATAACAATGGTTCAATAAATATTAAATTCAGCGAAGTGATTTTGTCTAATGGACATTACTTGTTCTCTAAATTGAACATTTGCAGCCAAATTTACTCACTTTATCGCACCTAAACCCAGATTTTTTTTTTCAATTCGTATTTATTTTTGTACTTCGTATGATTCACGCTTTTCTATTTTCAGGCGCTGTTACACCAAAGATATATTTAATGTTTATTTGCTAACCAGCCTCTGATTAATGTTCTTTTGTAGTAGCACAATTGCGCTCATTTATTCTTGCCAACCACTTTGACCCGGTGAATTTTTCTCAATCGCTGATTGGTTGCTGGTTTTTTTTTTTAGTAACTCTTGGCTTATTCACTGTAATGAATAACAGTAATCGGTGGAATAAAATGAAAAAAAAAAACAAATAGATTCCGTTCATTTGTCATTTTGGTACACAGATATTACATCGAACTGGGTTTGAGGGCTATTGCTTAGAAGAGTAATTTACTACTATTTATGTAGTAGAAAAAAAAAAAAAACAGATACATGATGTAATTATTTCTCTAAAAGAAATGATACATGTAAGCTAAAAATTGATATAAAAGTGTTGTTTATTTAATTTTATGAGAGATTCGGAATCACAAAATTTTAACATTGGATTACTTTTATATATAGACCAAAAAAATAATGTTTTTGGGTACCCTAGTTACTTGAAAGGAATTTTGAAGTCATAAAGGCGAATTTCAGGCTTAAAATAAAAGCTTAAATAAAGCTTAATAATATAAAAAGCTTAAAATCTCCTACCTGGGAAATCTGAGAAATTACTTTTCTATATACATTTCCATTTGTAATAACCTAATAAGCTAACCTAACCTAATAACCTAAGCGCAAAAAAGACGTTACGGGAAATTTTTGTAAACATTTTCTTTTTGATGCAGAAATGTTCCTAGAGTATCTAGATGCATTTTTTGCATCAAACATCAAGTTTTGAAAAGTTTCGCTTACATATTTCGGTGGCATATCTTCTAATTATGAATATTACGAACGTTCGACTTTCGTGTAGAAAAATATAAAATTGGCTGAAGTTGATAAAGTTACACTTCTGGCTTTGCAGTATCGAAAATTCGGTTTATTTTATGTAAAATTAGTTAAAACATTACGTCCCATAAAATTCATTATGGGAGTAATATTTATGGTCGGATCCAAAATTAACCTTTTCGGTTCGGACGTAATGAAGTAAGTAAGCAAAAAAAAACATCTGAACGTTTTGAGATATGGGTGTGTTAGATCTACCGCTTACCTGGGGACGAGTCGGATGATTTGTGGGTTGTTTTTTTTATGATTGTGTTGGAAAGCTGAACTTGATAGATGTAAAGGTAACTAAAGGTAACTAAATATCAACAAATCTTACAACAAAACAAAATCTCAAAATTCTTCTGTCATCTATGCGGCTTTCAGGACGAAGCCACTGAGCCACTGGGACCTGGCGTTATATGGCGTCTCCGAATAAAAAAAAAATTATGAGCAGCTTTTTCATGGCAGAAGTACACTGGGAGGGATGCCATTGCCAGAAAAAAAACTTTTCTTTTGAGGTTCGATTGGTACGTTCCTCTAACTAAGCTGCTACTGCGGCCGGAAATTGAAGACATGGATGATCTTTGGTTTCAGAAGGTCAATAGGCCACCTTGGAGCTGCGATTGGAAGTCTTTAGACTTTTTTGTAGGCTGTCGGAAAGGATTGAAGATTTAGGCCCTTGAGGCAAACCAAGCTATTAGTGGGATAGAGTCAGAAACCGCCACCAAGGTCTTGGAAAACTTTTTCTTATTTTAAATTTTTTTCATAAAAAAAACCCACTATATGGACCATCCTTTATAGGACTCTATATGTATTTATGTGAGTAGTATACTAAAAATTAAAAATTTTTACTCACCTGTCCTATATGCCGCTTATATTCATCGGTCTTCTGATCGCGCATTGGATTATCGAAACCACATAAGCCGATGCTGCAATTAAAGAAAAAATAAATAAATAATGAAAAAATTATGCAAACTTAAAAATTTGATAACAAGTAAGTAAAATAAGTTCTTTTTTCAACTATTGGCAGGTTCATTGATAAAAGCAGCAAATAAAGATTCATTTAGGTTAAAGTGCATGCCCTCTTTTAGCCAATGCAAGGCATATGTATTTAATGTTCTATACTTTCGATTTGCTCTATATCGCGGTTACTACAACACTTTCATTCGACTGTAGACTTGAGATGGGCGCGGGTCCCGTGGGTACTTATATATTTCACTAAATAAACTTCACAAGAATTTCCAATTAATTTTAAGTAATCATGATTCATGATTGAATCATGTTAAGTAATATACACTAATTTTTTTTTCGAATAATCTACTTTCATTATACGTAAAAATTTGACATATTATGCCTATGGCTCTTTTGCTTGTTTTTCGTTTCCGTCTCTGAATTTTCTAAATTTAAAATCAGCACCGTGCGCCCGGGTATCCTGCGCGAATCCCTACTATAGACCCATTCTGTTGGCGCGCGCTCTCATGGAGCAGCGGCCTGTAATAACCCCGATTACACGTCGAAGCATACATGCTCGAATGCTATGCTTTTCCATAAAGGTACAATAATTCAATAAATTACTCATACGCCGTGGTGACGTGCGTGAACTACTTAATTTTTGACACACGAACTATGAGTTATTCAACAGCTATGTGTGTTGGCTGTCAAATGCTTCTAGGCTTAATTATCTGATACAAATACATACACACACACACACACGAAGTAGATATGCAAGTAAGTACGTGTATGCGCATGTCCCTTCACTATGACTCATAAAAATATAGGGGCAAAAAGTCAATCCAAACACCCCCAAAAATTGCCGTCACTTGTGGCTAATTGGTATATAATAAAGTGTGCATTGCAACAAATATTATACACAAATGCGTCAACCTGCAAATGCATGCATAGAGAAGCAGCGCGCAATGCTATAAAGTGTTACAGTTGCACCACGCCCTCAACAGCCAAACTACGCGCAACGTCAATTGCAATTAACAGAATTCATACATACATATGTATGTGCAATAAATTAGATAAACGCGCCCACTGTACGAAAAGGAGAACGTGCCGTGCCACCTTCTCACACATTCATGAGTTGTTTTGGGCGGCGAGATTAATCTAATTGCACGTGCAAACCTTTGACTTGCATGAAAATAAGATAACACACACATACATGTGCACATAAGCCACCACATGTCACACATATATGGAGACTCATATGTCGCGCCATTTTTTTTAAGCAAATTTTCTAAAAAGTCACAAAGAAGTTGCGTTTCGCCTTCGTTGTTAGCCATTTTGTGTTGTTGACGACGCCACATTAATCATTCGCATGGCGTAAATTCGCGCGCAGCAGTTGAGCAGTCGGTGGCGGTTTGGCGGTGGCACTCAATCAATGCTTGTATGCAAATTTTGTGCAAAAAGTCAAGTCGCATGTGTCTTAGCTCAAAATGAAATTTGGCATTTTTGAATTTATTTAATTATTTTTTAACCATTTTGTACCATTTAGTACCGCAGTGGACCGCATTCCAATTTGGTTGCTTTGCGCAAAAGCCGCAATGTGTTGTAAAATGTTGCAACATAAGCGCTGTGTATGCCAAGTGGTAAATGCACAAGTGTTGTCGCACCATTCGAAATAGCTTTGGCTTGGCGTCGCAGGCAGCTGTATGCAATGCAGTTTTTGCTCGCTTGTCGATGAAAATTTTGAAAGTTTCTTAAGTGGATTATTTTATTGTTTGATTGTTGATGGCTGTTTCATTTGCTGTTACGAGCATTGTTTATGTAATTGTTTGTTTATTTCTGTTGTACATATGTGCGGTACAAAGTGCACTATTTGCTTCATGAGTCATTGGTCATTGCTCTTGAGTCTATGTAGAAGTTTGTGTATTTATTTATTTTTATTTTTTTTTACTTTAATTCGAAGAAACAAGGATGCCAGTTTGTGAATGCTGCAAATTCGACCTAAAATATGGAATAATTTGTTTGTAGGCTCATGACAGCCCCTGATTGGCCGCCGGGACTTTTCCGGAAACCAAGTGGGGTTCTAAGACAGATAAGCAGGTACAATGTGCGACTGAGCACCAGCCAATAGCGTATTTACACAATATGAGGACCGACTGTAAGCAATGGAGAAGTCTCTTTCTTAATTGTGGATGTTAACGCAGGCTCATTGGAAGACCTTCGAACTAGTGATATACAGAACCGATGAACCGGAACCAAAAAACGTTTCTAACGGAACCGAAACTCGATTCCAAAAGAACCAAAAAACGGTTCCGGAAGAAGCGAAACTCGACTCCTAAAGACCCGAAATACGGTTCCATAAGAACTAGAAAATAATCTCAGAATAACTGAAAAAAATAAGTAGAAGAACTGAAATTCATTCCAAAAGAACCGCAAACCGGATGCTATAGAACCGAAATCAGCCACGAAGCGCACATTGCACTTTGGTGAAAGAATTTATTGTTTTGGCATAAAGTCTAAATATGAAGATATCAGCCCGCAATTCGGTTTAGATATGTCTTATAAAGTTCTGCTCTCACCTTCCATATTTGGTTAGGTTCGAGGCCGCTTATAATCGATCTAACTGACTTACACCAATTTCTTGGTTTTTAATGATTTTTTTTTTCGGTTCGTTGCCCCACATCATTTAGCCGCCATATACCCGTTCTGGCCGACTTCCATCAACTTCATTGTTTTTGATGCTATCGACTTGAAATTCGATTTGTTTGCGGAACATGGAATTCTGAGTTGAAATACAAATTTTTTCTTTGAATTTAGGGCCTTACTCTGTATCACGAACGATAGGCAAAACGAACGATTCGTCTGCAGACGACAACCTCTCTGATTGCGATTTTAAATTCTATCGGTCGTCTTCGTCTTGCTTTTCATGCTGGTCTTTCCATCTTTGACTAATTCAAATCCTGTCAGCTGCAACTTAAATGCGTCAAAAGAGCACCATCGAGAAAATATTTTTTTTTATATATAAACATTAATTTGTTTTAAATAGGAACGAAAAATAATCATTATTTTAAATTAATTTTTATTTTACGAGCTTAATCAATAAAGTTTAAAAACAATATTAATGAATTTTGTCTCTTAAAGGAAATTATTATTACTTGATTTTTATATTTTCAATCATAAATAATGACTATTTTACGATTTATATTTTTTCACCCAATGATAATAATTATTTTTGAGTTATATTTTTTCACGTTCATTAAAAAAAACGTATAGGCTATACAGCGTGATTTCCAACGTGTCCTTTTCAGAGGTAGCGGCACCCTAATAAAAGGAATAAGTCCCAAACTTTTCAGGTCAAAACTTCAGTAGGTTGCGTCTTCAATATCCAATTCAATTTTATAAATAATCATTATTTTTAAGTGGAAAAATAAAACTCAAAAATAATGATTATCAGTGAGCGAAAAAAAATCATAAAATAATCATTATTTGTAATCGAAGAAATAAAAATCTGATAATAATTATTTCCATTGAGCGAAAAAATAAAACTCAATAATAATTATTATTTTTAACCAAAAAAAAATTAATAACATAAATAATGAATAAGTGCACGGTGGGCAGGAAGCGAAGATAGGTTGCATAAAAATGTCGACAAAATCTGAAAGCAGGGTTGTATTTGTTGATATCTTAAGGTTAAGAATCCACTTAAATTGAAATCCTAGCTGCTCCTGTTTTAAAGATATCCACATTTTATATACTTCTGATAGGATATATTTGGAAGGCGTACTTCTCGATAATTAGAGCATATTTATACGAAAAGAAATCTCATACAAATCTGTTCCCCTTTTTTAATCACTAAAACGGATCAAATCAATGTGAAACATTTTCATTTTTTCCTACCGAAAGAATAATTGATCGAGATTTATTGGGCGCTACCGGTATACAACTTAGATAAAACACCACAATTACCTTTTTCTGTAGCGTGAACTTTCTCATTACAAACACTTTCAATATCGCAATATATGTATGTATGTATACAATATTGTATGCTATATAATACGGTAGTAATTTTTTATTAAAGGTTTGTTGCTATAAGCAAGTAGCGCAGGC